TCCCAGGTCCACCCTGACCTGGGGGTGGTAGCACCTGTTAGGGTCCCAGCTATGGGTAAATAGTTAACCCCCAAACTGGGGTTAAAACACTATGAAAGTGTAAAAATAGGTTTTAATACCAGAAATACTTTGTAAAAAAATTATTACCAGTAATACATTTTTAAAGGAAAAAATATTACCAGCTATACATTTTTGAGAAAAAAAATTCCAGCTATACATTAAAAAAAAAAAAAAATACCAGCAATACATTTTTGAAGGAAAAAATATTACCAACAATAAAAATTTCATCAGCATTTAGATATGCCATAAGACAAACCAAACCAATCTACAGAATCTTACATGGCTGGCGAGGATTGCAATACTGAAACATTTCAAATGTCATCAGGAGCATGGGAAGGAAATGATTGCACCAGTCTCTTTAATCTCTTCCTAGGCTATGCCCCCACTGCATTTACAAACACAAATGTCATGAGATAGGCATTGACCATTTATACATTCCATACCACATCTCAAATGAGTCTACCAACAGAAGACAATGATCCTGAGGCCAATGTACTGATGATAAAGGGGAATATGCTGATGACTCCCAAATTTTCCAAGAAATAGAACTCAAGATAAGCCTTTCCAAAAGAAGCCTGTAGGAGTTATTGAAGTTTATTCTTCTTTGAACCTTTCTGACTATTTGTGGAATTGATGACACATCAAGCTGATACACTTTGCCAGACTCTCCTGAGGTCAGTATACTGATGATGATGGGGGTTCTGCTGATAACATTGGTATTTATAATGATCTTGAACAGAAAATCAATCATTTACCAAGTGAATAAAGAAATAGGATTGAAGATAAACATTTCCAAAGCAAAAACTATGATCTTGAAATGAAAGCAGTGATGGCACATACCTTGAATCTGTCATTAAAATTTAAGGTGTGGAATTAATACAGAACACTTCAAATCCTTCAGAAATATCTAAACAACAGCTTTCTCAGATCAATGATTAAAAATGGCTTTGAGCAAAAGAAGCCTGTAGGAGTTATTGAAGACCATTCTTCTTTGAACCTTTCTAACCATTTGTGGAATTGATGACACATTGAACTGATACACTTCACCAGACTCTCCCGTGGTCAGTATAATGATGATAATGGGGTCTCTGCTGATGACATAGGTATTCATAGTTGGAATAAAAATGATCTTGAACAGAAAATTAGCATCTTTTATCAAGTGTTCCAAGAAATGGAAACCTTTTCAAAACAGAAACTATAAGCTGAAATCCATCATAAAAAATACAGTATGTGAAATTAGTCAATACTAAACACAGATACCTCAGAGTATGGATCAGTTATAACAATTTTAGTATAGGAGAAAAAGAAATTGAACATAAAATAGGCTGTGTCAGAGATAGTTTCACCCAACACTGCAAGTTGTTACTAAACCAAAACATCAATCTGAAAATTTGTCATGTTTTTAAATAGCCTTGTCAGATCAAGACTTTCATATAGATGTCATGTATGGTGCCAAATCTGTTCAGAAATATCTAAACTGTCAGTTGTTTACAACTGCTTCCTGAGATTAATGATGAAAAAAGGCATTGAACAAGTGAAGTCTGAAGGTCTTACCAAAGATCATGCTACTTTGGACATTGTGGACTGATGCTACAGAATCAAACAGAGAACTGTACCAAATAACAGAAATAACATCACTTGAAGACTACCAACAGCAGCAACAACTAAAATGGATAGCACATGTAACTCAAAGAGAAAATAATGACATAATCAAAATGTTAACATTCCATACCACTTCAAATAAAAAGTTTGGAAAGAAACCCCCATCAATACTGGAAGAGCAATAAAAGCTATTAGACTTGAGAAAACTTTTTTTTACTAAAAAATGTTTCAAGATTTTATAAATTTCAACCGAAAACAGGGAAATGGCTAATATTACCATAACTATGTCAAGTGTTCTATTAGTCACATTTAAAAAAGAAAATGCTGAAATTGGCATTTTAAGAAAGGTTAAATTTTAACTCATACTTTAAAAAAATTGCTCTGTGACAGATCAAACATATCAAAAATATTTTGAAAAGTTGGCAGTTCTTCAGTAAATAGTGTCAAGATGAGGTAGATCAGTTAAAAATGATTGCAATCAAACCAAGACATTATCTGAAGGTAATCAATGTTATATAATATAGAAATATCAAACATAATGAAGATATAAAATTCAAGTGTTGAAAATAATTTGGTTATGTCAGTCACTTTGATGTGTAGCCTCTGCATAAATGAGAAAAACATACTAGACAGTATTTGTGTATATTAAATTATTTATTACATTTATTCTGTATAGCCTGGACATTGTAAGGGCCTAGTGTTCCTTCGAGATAACAAATGGAGTCATTTTTCTTTGATGACCAGGCAAAAATTATTACAGCTTGACTGGGAAGTTTTGACTCATCTGTTATATTCACCAGACATCACACCTTTGGACTACAATTTATTCTGCTTAATCCAGACATTGTAATGATATAGTATTCTATCAAAATAATGGTAGGTTTCATGTTTCTTTGATGACCAAGCAAAAATTTTTACAGCTTGACTGAGAAGTTTTGACTCATTCACTGTATTCACCAGACATCACACCTTTGGACTACAATTTATTCTGCATAATCCAGACATTGTAATGATATAGTATTCAATCGAAATAGGTTTCATGTTTCTTTGATGACCAAGCAAATATTATTTCAGCTTGACTGGGAAGTTTTAACTCATCTGTTATATTCACCAGGCATCACACCTTCGGATTACCATTCTGCATACATTGTAACCTTGAATTACCATTGTTCATTTCTTTTTTCTGAATTTAATATCAATGTTGTGGCTTTATTTTTCCATTTTCTTAAGTACAGTACTGTTTGCTGTGTACACATATGTACTTTGATAAAATTGTCTTTTGCATTGCTGAGTTCTTCATAGAAAAAATACTGTAAAAAATGTTCTGATTTGTTTCGCTGTTATTCCTGACTTTTTACAGAATATTCTCAGTTTAAAAAAATAAAATCTCTCTGGAAGACTGCAAAAATGCCTAAAAGCTCTTTTGCTGAGAAAGATAAAAATTTTCCAAGAGGATGCAATTATGAAGTTGCCTAGAAGATGGAAGACCATGAAAGAAAACAGGCCATATGTTGTTCAAGAAAGTTCATGGCAAAAAGCAAAAAATTACCTTTTATTTTTGTTGTGTAGTGAATAGGAAAGGTTGACAACCATATAGAAAATAAGTAGTAATTTATTCCTGAGAATAATATAGTACACAGTTAAGAACATAGACTAATGTAATAAATAGTTAGTCGTTAACTTGTCTCCTTCAGCAAGAGAGAGTGATGTTTAAATAGTCTTAGATCAGTCCATCTTGTGGGGGTGTTCAGCTACTCCACAATAATTTTCACAAAAAAATTATTTATTATTATTATTACATGTAGCTATTGCAATTGTACAGTAAGACCTGCCTGCTAATCTAATACTGCATTTAAATTTGTAAAGTCAAGGAAATCTAATCAGAATAATTACCAAGAAATATAAAAAACAGAATATAAAATTCAAGAAAAATAGGATTGAAGATAAACTATAAGATAAACTATTTTTTAAAAGAGTTTATTTATTAAAAAGGTACAAGAAAGCTACTTATTTTGATTAATAACATTACTTAGAATGATTACTTCGCTACTTATAAAACTGCAAAAACATTCTTAGTTGGTAATAATATAAGTGAGATATGGCTATAAAAAGGCACTGTTGATTATTAATGGCTAATTTATTTAAATAATTGTTTGTGTTGTGACAATAATTCTAAGTAAAATGATGCACTAAAATAAGAAAAATTCTCTGAATATTGATAGCATTTATTTTCACTTTGTAAATGATACAAAATATTTTGGTTTTAGCATTATCCAATATTCAGATTCAATCTTCCTGTTTAGTTGAAAGCTATTCATACAATACTATTTTCAGATCTTCTAGAAAATAGATACCAGGTTGGTGAGGCTATTCTCACAAAAACAGTTGATTTGATATGCTTTCTGTTTCACATTGAATTTGAAATAATTAAGGTATTGAAAGAGCTTAATAGTATTTTCAATATATTTTTCCTTATCATGTAAATATTGAAACCTATAAATTCTGAGTGCTCGTAAATAGAATCTGAGACTATTTCATATTTTATTTTGTTGTTATGGGGAAAATACAAATTTACAAGATCATTTTTATTAGTTAATTTGCAATAGAAACATTTTTTTTTTAGATTATTATAGGTATGATTTAACATTATATTGAGCAAAGGGGGAAAGTTAATGTGTTGTTTGTTTCAGTTTCATAAATAATTTCTATCATATGTTTGTTTAGTTTATTTACAAAGTCAGGTAATGTTATTTTTCATGGGTATAATTTTTATAAACAAAGATTTGGATTACCAATGTGTTCCACTCTGAGCGGTTAGTTTTTCTTGAAGCTGGTATTTTCCAAAGTACTTTACCTAAACATTCAACATTTCCAATGTTCTATTAACATATAGTTTTTGTTTCTTTAGTAAGCTATAATATAGTTTGTTTTTGTTCTGAAAACTATAATAGCAAATTTTACTGTCAGTATTAACAGGTTAAACAGTTTCTTGGTAAACATCAGCCAACCGGATACCTTATCTTCACATCTAAGGCCTGTGAGATATTTTTTTCAGCTGTTTTATTTTCTATCTCTTTTTTTTTTTTTTTTTTTTTAAACAGGAGGGTGTCTTATATGCATTCAAAAACAGAAAATCTCTCATGACATAAAGAAAATTATTAAATATTATGAAAATAAAGGGAGTGGCGTGACCACAGCAAAATAAATAACCCCACCTAGTCACCTCAGATATGACCCCAAGTGCACAGTGAAGCAGTACCGAGCTCTCCTGGTAGAAGATAGAAAATGAAATGAATAAATAAAACTAAAAGATTTTCTTAATGAGACAGAAATTTTACCTTGTGGGGATGTTTCTTTGCCACTTGGGTAAGAGTTTCAACACACACAGCAATGAGGTCCAGAGGTGGAGAGGTGAGTCCAGCAAATCTACAAATGGAAAAAACAGGCAAGTAAATTATTGGTTAGACTATTGGACTGGTGACCAAAAGATCCAAAAGGTGGTTTGATAAAGATAAATAAATGTGAAAAGTAGTTTGAAGAAAAATATTTTTTCTGGGTTATTTAGAGTAAGTATAATGAGAATAATGATCTATTTTTTATTATTTTGCAGTGAAAGTTTAATTTCATATCATTATTATTTGCAGTATTTTTTTTGAGTGCAATATAAATATATATATATATATATATATATATATATATACACATATATATGTAAGCAAATATATGGATATAGATATATGAAGAAAAATATACAGAAAAAACAAGCAAAAATCTTAATAAATAATAAACAAAATTCATAAAACATAGAACATATAAAATTCAACATGAAAAGACGATGGACATAAGAGCACAAACTAATCCAAGCTTGTTTAATATTTTAATATTTTGAAATCATCTTCGAATACATTTTCACAACATTCCCACGTTCATCGACGTGATCATATTTAAATGGAACGCTGATCTTATATAAAAATTTCAGTTATCTGTTTGGATTAATTGTGCTCTTATGTTCATTGTCTTTTCATGTTGAATTTTATATGTTCTAATGTTAATTATGTTTAATGAATATGTTTGATGATGGTCTAAAATAGACCAAACGTCCAACGTTGACTTTTATATTAACATTAATACAGCATAATTGCATATTAAGATTTTTTTTGTTTTTTTTTCTGTATTTTTTTCATATATATATATATATATATATATATATATATATATATATATATAAATTTCTAGGTTAACCTGTGGTAAAAGACAATAGGAAAACTGTATTATTAGCCAATGCATTTCATCCAATGTGGACTTTTTCAGATTAATAGATTAATATTTGGATAATATTTAATGGTGGCACTCTCGAGAATTTTCCTTCTGAGTGAGTTATTTTCTTTTTTTATGAGTGTAGCATTTTTAAAATCAAAATTGTGGTTGAATTTATTTCTATGTATTATCCAAATATTAATCTATGCCCAGGCTTTTTCCCAATATCATCTTTCCTAACAGAATTACTACTCTCCCAAGCCAATGTACACAACTGTATTAAGAAAACAAAAGAAAATGGTTGAATCCGTCAACACAACAATAAAACAATTTTTCTACACATGAAAATACTTGACGTAATTTTCAGTTGACGATATGAATACAATAGCGTTTTCTAAATTCTTCTAGTTGCTAAGGACATTTTGCTTGTTGTTAATAGTTACTTTGTTTTCAATAAATTCATTTCGTTTTTGCCTTGAAAAAGTCCACATTGGATGAAATGTGTCAGCTAATAATTTTCCTATTGTCTTTTACCTTTACACACACACACACACACACACACACACACATATATGTATATATTTGATTTTACTAATACCTCCCTAAGAAGAATATATTGTATTTGACAACATGTAAGGCACAATTTTTTTTTTTTACTAAAAGTATTTTTTACAGTTTCCCTGTGTCTTACATGCCACATGTAGGTTTAAAATTTGCGATAATCAGCCGAAATTAGCTACCTGACAACTCCTATTAGCTTAAACTTTAGAGAAGATTTCATATACCTATTGTCATTATTTAAAAGGCTATTATGCAGATTAAAAGTGTTATCATTGATAATATTGATTATATTAATTTCATCACGTTTAATATTAGTACTTTGTTTCACTAAAATTATATGCAGTAAATTCAAATTATATATTTGTAAAATATATTTATTTCATTAATATTTTTCTTGCAATAACTTTCGGTTGTATAAATGCAGTTTAGTTTGGTTTGCTTTATGGCATATCAACCTCAGTGAGTTATTTAATGCCAACAAGATTTTTATTGTTGGTAATTTTTTTTTTTTTAAATGTCTTGCTGGTAATAATTTTTTACAAAGTATTTCTGGTATTAAAACTTGTTTTTACACTTTCATAGTGTTTTATCCCCAGTTTGGGGGTTAACTATTTAACCAATAGCTGGGACCCCAACTGGTGCTACTACTCTCGGTCAGGGTGGACCTGGGAACACCAGCAATTAAGAGGTGGTTCCACACTCCTCAAAATCTCCTGATCAGAGGCCTTGCTGCTGGACGTAGTTTTTCATCTTACTCAGGACACGGATGTAGTTTATCGTCATACCTAGGACAGGGTATAAATGCAATCAGAATTTTTATATCCTAATTATTCCAATAAGATGTTTACAAGATGCAGGTTGTACAGATCATATAAAGGATATAATAAAGTTTTTATAGGCTTGTGTTCTTTTTTTTCCCCTATTATTTTTCGTTTAATTGTAATCATTGCTAGTTTAATCAAAATAATACCTTATAAATATAGCCTAGGTTGTACCATTTACTAATAATTTTACTAATTACTAATTTTTTCTTGATTTGCCCTACTGAAATTGGGGTACATCTTATACACCCGAGCATCTTATATGCTGTCAAATATGGTAATTCTTTAAAGAAAAAATATTTTGAAAGCTTAATAACATTATTACCAACGATAAACACATACCAAAAACATTACACTGCCATCTTTCTTTGAATCCATTCTTAAGGAATCTAACATATATCTAATACAAAGAGTATGTATATAAAAATAGCCCCAGATTAATAGAATACCACCCTACTACATTGACTGACCAAAACAAAAGTTAAAACATTAGAACTCCTCCTGATAGACACACATACATAATTATGAATACACATTATCATCCAATGCCTGCTTAGACATGTTAGAATTGTCACAAACTTACATACATACAGAATTAACTACAGTTTTAATGCACATGATACATGACTGACCAATGAGAATTGATCCAAATAAAATTGAAAATACCAAAGTTCTGTCTTTTTGTCTGTTTTCTCTCAATATCTAAGGAAGCTTTAAATACAAGTAAAATGTTTCTTATTTGTTATTTATCTTATTGTTTTAACCTAAGGAAGGTTATTGAATAGAATAATCACACAAAGGTTGGTAATGAATGATAATACTTAGGACACAAACAACACATATAAGATTCGCCAGCGGTCGGTAAAAGAAGTAGTCAACTGCTAGAAGTGAGTCAAGTGAATTCCACAATAAATCTCCAACTGTAGACCAACATACAGTAATTACTATTGTGTTTATGTGAATGGGGACATGCCCATTATCGTCAATAGGTATGCTACAACAATCAAGGATGAATTACATTTACTGTTAACTGAAACAACTATGAACATGGACACAATATGTTGACTGTGTTTTGATAAATACATACATACAACAATCCATTTCCATATAACAGTAAATACAGCAGGATTTGAACCTGTGCCCCTCCTGAGCAAAGACATGATATCTCAAAAAAAGAGAAAAGTCAATACCTAAAATGAGAACTTAATATTTGGATGTTACATAATGATATTTAAAAACAAATCTCACCTGTGGATGACTTGGTAACAAAGTTCTAAAATTTCTTGGAATTGGTCAATGGAATGAGGGACGTTGGACAAAACAGATTTTAGTAGACCGACCACTTGACTGGCCTGGCAAGTCTGATCAGCAGTGATCATATCTGTAGGAAGAATAAAGTTGAAAAAGAAAATTAATTTACAATGGGAACAAACAAAAAACTTACAAAATTTCCCTTTTGAAATAGCAAATTAAAAATATTATGATGTAATGGAATAACCAGTTACCCACATGAATACCCACATGTTAGACATGTTAGAATTTTCACAAATTTACATACATACAGAATTATCTACAGTTTTAATGCACATGATACATGACTGACCAATGAGAATTGATCCAAATACACTATAGGTAGTAAGTACCTATAAAGTCAACCGTCTATGAGAGACTTGAGGAAGAGTGAGAGGAAGACGACGCAAGCATGTCTGACCTTCCAATTAGTGGAACACTACTAGATTGATCTATGTGTATAACTGTACCATATTTCATAATTGTACTGGTTGTGTACAATAAACTTTTCTTCTATTATCCAACTGATGTTAAGTATTTATTCCCTTAGCACGGAATATAACATATTAATACTAATATTAGTAATTATTAGTCTTTCGTGAAACATCTGTTTGATGTTCTGGCACACATGATCAGTAATATTTTTAGCTAAGGTTCATTAGAGTTTTTGGAGCTTTCAACATTATTCCCCCACCTCTCCACAGTGACTCAGCTGATACTGATCAGGTATCAACTTGTGTACTAAATCTTTCGTCATTTTTAAATCACAAACAGCAACTCCTCTTGGCAAATTATAGCCCAATCGCAGATAACTTCCAGTTCACTAGATGTCTAAGCTCTTCCAAATTCAGTAATGGTTTTGATCTGGTAAGGAATATGGCAATGCACTCAGTGTGAAGTGGTAAGTAACAATCTTTGTTTCCCCTTACTTAATATACGATGATATTAGATTCAGTAAAGAAATATAATTATTTTCCAAACTCTTCTAAGGTAGAAATAAAATGGTACATGGTTTATTGGTTGGTTTGTTGCTTATTTTTTTAAATCAATTCCAACCAAGCAAGGTGACAATGCTACTAAAATGCAAGGATCTCCTGGGAGTGAATAAGAAAACTTTAGAAGGAACTGAAAACCTGATACTAAACAGGAAACAAGGGATAAATTTCTACTCGTGTTCCAAAGACTAAGTTGGAGAATCAACCAGAGGATAGGTGAATCTATCTACTCTGAATGTTGAAAGCTGATTTTTTACTATAATCAAGTCTATACGTAGACTGGTTACAATTATATTTAGGTTTATAGGCAGATATTGGTGGCATTAATATTCAAGTCTGTAGGCAGACATCAGTTGTGTATGCTCGCACCCATAAGCAGACATTGGTCATACTCGTTCTAGCATCTGTAAGTAGACATCAGTTCATTTTATGCTTTAGTCCATAGCTAGATATTGGTTATGTTTATACTTGTGTCTGTTGGTAGACATCAGTCATATTTATACTTGGGTCTGTAGATAGATATCCATTGTGTTAATGCTGAAGTCTGTTAGTAGACATCAGTCATTTTTATGCTAGAGTCCATAGGTAGATATTATTCTTCTTTATGCTAGAGGCCATAGGCAGATATTGTTCTTCTCTATCCTAGAGTCCATAGGCAGATATCGTTCCTCTTTATGTCAGAGTCTATAGTTAGACATTGGTTTTCTTTATGCAATAAGTAGACGTGTTTATACTCAAATCTACAGACAGACATTTGTCATCTGTATCAATCTGTTAATATTTCTGAATGGGTTTGCTGTCATATGTGATATCCAGATGAAATTCTCCATTTGATAAGGCTATTTTGAATTAATGTTCTAGTTTTGTAGCAATTTGTAACGTTGGGAGGCAAGACTCTATCTTGTGCAGCCTATTCTATGTCCAATTTCCTTTTCTCCTGTACTAAATTTGTTATCCAGATACTGAACTATTTGGACTGTTTAGTACTTACTGATTCAACATCCAGAATTTTTATGACTGATTCAGGGTAGGTACCATCACTGCTTTATTATTCTAGAAGAACAATTCTGAACAAGTGTATGGTACCCTTTTTAATTCATAAAAAGATTTTAGAATTTCTAATGACTATGACCTTGACTGTAGTTGACTTGATGATGGTTGTCTGTACTCTACTTATATCATTTACAGTTGAACTAATGTCCTCATTTTTGTTGTTACTCTCACAATGTTTTGGCCCTTTTGCTCTCCAATCTTCTTCATGTATCTCTTCATCCAGATAACCTTCAGGGAATTTAGAAATGAACTCTTTCTGAAATCTACAAATTAAACAGAGCTAGCAATAACCAAACAATTAAACAAGATATCTTGGGCCATGGACAGTGGAATGAGAACAATCTACCCCATAGATTAAATGAAGAGTTCAGTTTGAATTTTCCTAAAGGTTATCCAGATCAACAACAGGTACCTGAAGAAGGCCAGGGAGCACAATGCCTAAAATGTTTTTTGTAATAAGAAAAAGATTATTATCAGTAAATAATCTAAACAATGATAACTCCTTATGCCAGAAATTCTGAAAGGAATCATGTGCATTTTTTTCCATTAGCCATTGTGGCATACTAATGATGAATGAGATTCTAATTTATTTGAGACCTCAAGTGAAATTTATACAGATGATCCATTGCTAAAGATGGAAAAATGGTGCTGGTTCCAAACCTATTAGGAATAACTGCTACCCTCCCCCATTTTTGGACAGATGCATGCTTGGATTTCTTCCTAGACAGTAAGATAAGCCACTTCTCAGTCTGATCTGCTATAATTCTGTTCTTTCTTGTTTTGAAGTTCAAACATTGCAATCACTTGTTTGTATTCGTTTTGTGTGTTAACACCATTCTTAGTTTGTGAACTTATTGCCTTATTACTGTTGCTTTGCCTACTTTTGCCTTGCATATATTGTTTCCTCAATATTATTTTTTGTTTCCTTTGTTATTGTTACTTGCAAACTTTGTCAATTCTGTTGGGCATTTTTCTGCCAATTATTCTACAAATAGCCATCTTGTTGTACCACTCCAGGAATTACTTAGTTCCTACTGTCATGTTTCATCCTCAGAGTCAGATAAGATCAATCAAAAGTGGAGATTGCTGTCATATCTTACTTCCCAGCCATGTTAAGAGTTCAAAATCATTTATGTTGTCTTCCACCCACAGCCCCTTTTTTACAGATGCAATGGGCCAATCCTATCACTCCTCTATTGCTCCTTCCATGGCAAATGTTCAAATGAGCTTCATTCTTTAATGTCACCAGCTCAGATCTTTGCAGCCAAAACCCACCTTGCTATGTCTACAGGGTTGAATCATTCCCTATATAAATAAAATGCTGGTAAAAAGGATGCTACACTCAGAAAAACTGTTCTCCAAAACTTATACTTTTTGAAATAAACTCCCATGTGGGTATTTCCCCAAACACTACAATCTTAACCGCTTCAAGTTTAGGGTCAATTGTTATCTGCCATATCTTCACTTCCTACTTTTATGTTCATAACATGCACTTCATTCAGTAACTATCTTGAGTGGCTCTTTTGAATGTAAAAAATAAAAATAATTAAGCATAATTATTTAATTAGCATTTCCAAGTAATTATAAAATAAATTCTATTAATAGCAGATGACCTGCTATCAAGCCAAGGCATTTAATTAAGTTTTATATAATAAGATAGATAGGTCTTTAAAAATTAAAAGATACTTTTTTTCTTTTTTTTTTCTGGTGGGTCTTTAAAAAGAAATATGCACAGCAAGTTGGTAAGATCAGAATCCAAGAAGAAAGAAACACAAACAACTCACTTGGGGATCTCGACACCTGGAATAACAGCTCCTGGATTTCACATGTTAGCACCTTCCAACAGTTATAGGTAAACACCCACTGAACTAGGTGACCCCCTTTTGTAGCTGCACAAACAGAAAACGGATGGGGAAAAAAACAACAGATTAGGAAAGAAAGCTGATTATGGAAGACATGTTGGTATTTTTGATTCAAAGAAGAAACAAGAGTGGAGTTTTCTGGATATGTAAAAAGGAAAAGAAGGAAGAAGAAAAAAAGAGAGAGCAAGAGAGATAAAAAAGAAAACAAAGAAAGAAAAGACAGGGAATAAAGAAAGTAAAAAGAGAAGAAAGGAATAACAAGAAGAAAAAAAGAGGGAAAAAGAAAGGGAAAAAAGAAAAGAAAGAATAAAGAGTAAAAGGAAGAAAGAAAGAATAAAGAGTAAAAAAGAGAAGAAAGAAAGAATAAAGAGTAAAAGAGAAGAAAGAAAGAATAAAGAGTAAAAAGAGAAGAAAGAATAAAAGTAAAAGAGAAGAAAGAATAAAGAGTAAAAAAAGAAAGAATAAAAGTAAAAGAGAAGAAAGAAAGAATAAAAAAAAAGAGAAGAAAGAAAGAATAAAGAGTAAAAAGAGAAGAAAGAAAGAATAAAGAGTAAAAGAGAAGAAGAAAGAATAAAGAGTAAAAAGAGAAGAAAGAATAAAGAGTAAAAAGAATAAAGAATAAAAAGTAAAAGAGAAGAAAGAATAAAGAGTAAAAGAAGAAAAAAGAATAAAGAGTAAAGAAAGAAAGAATAAAAGTAAAAAAGAAAAAGAAAAAGAATAAAGAGTAAAAAGAGAAGAAAGAAAGAATAAAGAGTAAAAGAGAAGAAAGAAAGAATAAAGAGTAAAAGAGAAGAAAGAAAGAATAAAGAGTAAAAGAGAAGAAAGAAAGAATAAAGAGTAAAAGAGAAGAAAGAATAAAGAGTAAAAGAGAAGAAAGAATAAAGAGTAAAAGAGAAGAAAGAATAAAGAGTAAAAGAGAAGAAAGAAAGAATAAAGAGTAAAGAGAAAAAGAATAAAGAAAGAAAGAAGAAAGAATAAAGAGTAAAAGAGAAGAAAGAATAAAGAGTAAAAGAGAAGAAAGAAAGAATAAAGAGTAAAAGAGAAGAAAGAAAGAATAAAGAGTAAAAGAGAAGAAAGAAAGAATAAAGAGTAAAAGAGAAGAAAGAAAGAATAAAGAGTAAAAGAGAAGAAAGAAAGAATAAAGAGTAAAAGAGAAGAAAGAAAGAATAAAGAGTAAAAGAGAAGAAAGAAAGAAAAAAGAATAAAAGAAGAAAAGATAAAGAGTAAAAGAGAAGAAAGAAAGAATAAAAGAGTAAAGAGAAGAAAAGAAAGAATAAAGAGTAAAAAGAAGAAGAAAAAAAGAATAAAAGAAAGAAAAAAGAATAAAGAAAGAAAGAAAGAAAAAGAGTAAAAAGAAGAAAGAAAAAGAAAGAATAAAGAGTAAAAGAGAAGAAAGAAAGAAAGAATAAAGAGTAAAAGAGAAGAAAGAAAGAATAAAGAAAAAAAAGAGAAGAAAGAAAGAATAAAGAGTAAAAGAGAAGAAAGAAATAGAGAAAGAAAGGGAAAAAAATGAAAGGAATGGTTAAGAAAGAAAAAAAGTAAAAAAGAAAAACAAGAAGAGAAAGAAATTTGAGGGGTAAATAAAGAATAAAGGAAAGAGAGAAGGAAAGAAGAACAAGAAAAGAAAAATGAAAGAAAGGAAAAGGATGGATGATGAGGGTGGGTAAAGAAAGAATAAGGAAAGAACAAGAAGAGAAGTTGAAAGGGTAAAGGAATAAAAAAAAGCAACTTGAGGGGTAAAGAAAGAATAAAGAAATTAAAAAGAGAAGGAAGAAAGAACAAAAAGAGAAAAAAAGGAAAAAGAAAGGTGAGGGGGAGGAAATGGAATAAAGAAAGTTAAAAAAGAAGGAAAAACAAAAGAGGAGGAAAAATAAGAAAACAAACAGAAAGAAGAGGGTGCCAGAGAGAAAAGAAGGAGAAGAAGTAAAAAGTAATGATTAAAGAACAAAAAGAAAGAAAAGAGAAAGAAGAAGTCATAAAGGAAAGAAATAAAAATGATTTGGGTGATTTTTTTTAAAAGCACATCAATTTCTGAGTTATTTAACACTGAAATCTAAATATTTTGTATGCAATTTTTTTATAGATAATAATGGCATTGTAATACATCTTACTAATTAACCCATAGATTGGGAGAAAAGAGGTAGATTCATACATTTCCCAAGTTTATTTGCGCATAAGTGAATATAAGAAACCCAACTTGAATTGGAACTTGGCTATCTGATTAACAATTCCAAGTCCTTATCCATTACACCACCCACACATCCAAGCTTACAACACCTGGTATTTCCAAGTGGTCTCCCACCTAGATACTGACCAGGCTTAATGTTGCTTAGCTTCGGTGATCATACCGGAACCAAGTGTTTCAATGTGATGTGGCCATAAGCAAAGGAAAAATAAAGAAAGAAAGAAAGAAAAGGAAGCAAAGGAAAATAATTAAAAAAGAATGATGACAGAGTAAGAAAAGAAGGAAAAAGAATGAAGTAGGAGAGAAAAGAAAGAAGAAAATTATTGAGAGAGTAAGAAAATGAATAAAAGAAAGATGAAAGAAAAAAAAAGGAAGAAAGAATGAAAGAGAGAAGAGAAAAAAGGAAAGGAAGAAAAGAATGAGAGAGAAAATCTACAAAACAGAAAAAGAGTGTAGGAAAGAGAAAAACAGAATTGGTTGGTTTATTTTGTTTAGCGGCATATCAACCTCTATAGATTATTTCATACCAAAATCGAAATGTTTTAACACAATTTTATGGCTTCAACTACAGATAAAACATATTTGTAATCATTTTGTTTTAAAATTGTATTGCTGGTATTTTTTACTATAAAAATGTATTTTTATATTTTCATAGTGTTTTGTTTTTGTATGAGGATTCACTATTTGCCCATAGCTGGGTCCCTAACAGGTGCTACCACCCTGGAAAAAGAAAGAGTTACATGAACAGGAAGATTGTTGGAAGAATGAAACAAAATAAAAGAAATAGAGAAAAGAAAGAAAGGGAGAAGACAACAAAGATAACAATGGAAAAGAAGAAGAAGGGTCAAATAAAGGACTGTAAAGTAAAAGAGGAATATAATAAAGAAAATATAAATGATATATGAAAAAAAAAAAACAAGAGGCAAATAAATCCAGATTATAACACAGACATCAACCAAACATTCTGTTTACCCAAACATTGATGCATCAAAGCCTTTTCCGGATTCAGCCTTTAAAAAATCTTTTACCTCTCAGCCAATCAGCTTACAACTTCTTTGGAAATTAGACATCATTTTAATAAACAAATAAAAAGGGAGGAAAAAAAGAAATATGTGAGGTTGCTGAAAAAGGCTGTTAGTCTAAGCAGGAAAAAAAAACATGTTCAGTTAGCTTTTGTGAGGTAGGGATAGTGCTGATAATTTTTCAGCATCCCCTTTTTACATCAAAACTCACATCTTATGCAAAATAAAGGAACATTTTTTTTTATTCATTTACTGTTTATATGGTATAGTATTTTTATTATATAACATGTTTGGTCAGTATTTATGAAGTGGAGATGGTGTTGATAATTTTTCAGCATCCCCTTTGTACATCAAAACTCACATCTTATGCAAAATAAAGGAACATTTTTTTTATTCATTTACTGTTTATATGGTATAGTATTTTTAGTATATAACATGTTTGGTCAATATTTATGAAGTGGAGATGGTGCTGATAATTTTTCAGCATTTTTTTTCATCTTATGCAAAATAAAGGAAAATTTTTTTATTCATTTACTGTTTATATGGTATAGTATTTTAGTATATAACATGTTTGGTCAATATTTATGAAGTGGAGATGGTGCTGATAATTTTCAGCATCACCTTGTGCATCAAAACTCATCTTATGCAAAATAAAGGAAAATTTTTTTTATTGGTTTATAGTATAGTATTTTTTTTATATAACATGTTTGGTCAATATTTATGAAGTGGAGATGGTGCTTTGATAATTTTTCAGCATCCCTTTTTACATCAAAACTCACATCTTATGCAAAATAAAGGAAAATTTTTTATTCATTTACTGTTTATATGGTATAGTATTTTTAGTATATAACATGTTTGGTCAATATTTTTGGAGATGGTGCTGATAATTTTTATATGGCATCAAAAAACATCTTAGCAAAATAAAGGAAAATTTTTTTTTATTCATTTACTGTTTATATGGTATAGTATTTTTAGTATATAACATGTTTGGTCAATATTTATGAAGTGGAGATGGTGCTGATAATTTTTCAGCATCACCTTGTGCATCAAAACTCACATCTTATGCAAAATAAAGGAAAATTTTTTTTTATTCATTTACTGTTTATATGGTATAGTATTTTACATCAATATTTATGAAAGACTGATAATTTTCAGCATCTTATGCATCAAAACTCACATCTTATGCAAAATAAAGGAAAATTTTTTTTTATTCATTTACTGTTTATATGGTATAGTATTTTTAGTATATAACATGTTTGGTCAATATTTATGAAGTGGAGATGGTGCTGATAATTTTTCAGCATCACCTTGTGCATCAAAACTCACATCTTATGCAAAATAAAGGAAAATTTTTTTTTATTCATTTACTGTTTATATGGTATAGTATTTTTAGTATATAACATGTTTGGTCAATATTTATGAAGTGGAGATGGTGCTGATAATTTTTCAGCATCACCTTGTGCATCAAAAAACATCTTTGCAAAATAAAGGAAAATTTTTTTTATTCATTTACTGTTTATATGGTATAGTATTTTAGTATATAACATGTTTGGTCAATATTTATGAAGTGGAGATGGTGCTGATAATTTTCAGCATCACCTTGTGCATCAAAACTCACATCTTATGCAAAATAAAGGAAAATTTTTTTATTCATTTACTGTTTATATGGTATATATTTTTTAGTATATAACATGTTTGGTCAAATTTATGAAGTGGAGATGGTGCTGATAATTTTTCATCATTATGCAATCTTATGCAAAATAAAGGAAAATTTTTTTTTATTCATTTACTGTTTATATGGTATAGTATTTTTAGTATATAACATGTTTGGTCAATATTTATGAAGTGGAGATGGTGCTGATAATTTTCAGCAACCTTGTGCATCAAAACTCACATCTTATGCAAAATAAAGGAAAATTTTTTTTTTATTCATTTACTGTTTATATGGTATAGTATTTTTAGTATATAACATATGTTTGGTCAAAATGAATGGAGATGGTGCTGATAATTTTTCAGCATCACCTTGTGCATCAAAACTCACATCTTGTGCAAAATAAAGGAGAATTATTTTAATAAAAACTAAAGATTAGCATGCTGGTCCGACAAGCAAAGCATATAATAATGATAATTCCCCATCTCAGAAACTTTAACATAAATAATGAAAGAAGGTCAGATATTAGAACAGTGGAAGTTTTGTTAATATAAAAGCAAAGATTACTATATGCTGGTTTGAATAGTAAGGACTTTAAAATATTCCTCATTTCAAAAATTTCTATGAAAATGTCATGTCATTGGAGAGGCTGACAAATGCATGATGGCAGGCAAAGAAAAACATGAAAATGATGTACACGTTGCTTCCGGATAGTGATTACTAATTCTAAATCAATTTTTTAATAAAAATATATTAAAAATAAATAAATATATAAAAGAAAATAGCCAAATAGGTGGCTGCGTGATTTTTGCATTTTCAGTACCAATTCTTTATGCTAACATATGTAGACCAAGAATAGAACAATCAGCAATCATCACTGACTACATAGTATCATTAGAAAACAGGTATTTATCCAAAGAGTACAAAGAGTACAAAATGAAAACAAAGCACACATTTCAAGAGGGGGGATATCATATAATTAACATCCTTTAGTACAGAACATAGTAAGAGATCATCTTTTGAAAAAGAGTAAAGCAATAAAAAAAAAATTACCTGTTTCAAGATGATGATGTCCATAAGTTCCAGCAGGGATTGTAAAATTGCCTAGAAATTATTCAAATAAGAAATAATCATGTTTTTTTTTTTTAAATCATGTCATCGCAAGCAATACAATAATGCTAAGATTAAGAATTAATAATCTGCCTGTCCCATGCCTGTGCAATTAATATGCTTTTGACTGCAAGGAGAATTACAGTACACAATATAATTCTAAGAACATAATCAAGACAAAATTGGGACAAGGATAAGGAAATTTATTACAAAATGCAAATAAGAAATATGGGGTTGCTGTTTGCCCCTGGTGATACTAATATTTTAGATTTAGATTAAGAAAACAGCCAATGAGATAAAAATGATATTTTGATGAAAAATGGAGAATAGTGAATTTCTTAGAGGTTACATTTTGTTACCTTATTAAAGAAAACATGTAATTCTTGATAGCTAAAATGGCTACTCAAAAGGTTAAAATGCAAGTTTCCATACAATCAAAAATGAAAATTGCCTTAATGGATATTAAGTGTGCTTACCTGCTATATAAGGTTTTCTATCTTTATTCAACTGACACAGGGTCATATCATCCACCTGCTGATATTCAGCAGAAATCGACTTGTCAAAATTCTCTAAATAGGTAGGCAGAGACTTCAGAGTTGACATCACCTAAGTGGAATACAAATACAATTAAAATGTTATAAGTATCAATAACAATATTATTTTTATCATTAAATGAAGCACTGTTATTTTTCATGTTTGTCTTTCATCTTATTTATTTTGCTTAGTAGTAGTAGTAGTAGTAGTAGTCTTTTACTTCTTACAAAAGAAATTACATGAATTTCCGAGATGAAGCATTGTTATGATTATTAATTTCTGACTAGTCTTTCATCTTATTTCTCTTGCTTATTTAGATCTATTAGTAGTAGAGATGTGTGAATTTCTTAGATGAGGCATTGTCATTAATTTTTGACTTGTCTTTCTTTCATCTTATTTCTTTTGCTTCTTTACACCTAGTAGTAGTAGTAGTAGTGTTAAGCTGTGTGACTTGCTTAGATGAAGCCTTGTCATTCTTATTAATTTTTGACTAATCTTTCTTACATATTATTTATCTTGCTTCTTTACACCTAGTAGTAGTAGTCTTGTGTGCATTTCTTGGATAAAACATTGTCCTTATTTTTGACTTGATGCAAAAAATAAAACGAAAATAGTTAAAAATAATAATTGGTTGCACATTGGGTAAATCAACAGTAACATAAAATTATCAGTTTCATTTAGTGATGTAATGCTATTTTTTTTAACATAAAACAAACATTATCCTTTAAGAAAATAACATTGAATTTTCTTTAGATGAAGCAATGCCAACCGTTAAGTTTGGACTAGTATTTCTATCATTTTAATTTGTTACCTTATTGAAACTAATAGCATTCAGAGTAGTAATATTATTTTAAATTAGATAAAGTCTTCTCAAACATTCATATTTGATAAGTATATCTTCCATTTTATTTTCAGTTTCTGTATCTTTACTAATAAGTAAATTGAAAGAAAGACAAGTCAAAAAAAAAAAAAAAAAAGACAAAGCTTCATCTTGAATTATTTTGTAGTGTGGATTTTTTCTAAACTCCATCATTATTTTGTTTATAATTTATTTTATAATTATCAGAAAATATGAAAAATATGGCAGGTTCCATTTCATTGTGGCGTGTGGGAAAATGAAATAAATAAAATAATAATAAAGAATAAAAAAAAAAAAAGAAATTAATTCCATGATGCAAATTATAAAGAAACTGAAAAGTGTTTTTGTTCGCATATGCAATTTTATTACCTCACTTCTGAAAAGAACAGAATCTTTCTCTTTTCCACTTTCCAACGACATCATTCGGATGTGTTTCAGCAGCCCTACTCATGACGTAATTGATTTGGTCATCCCAACTCAGTGCAAAGCTGACTTGAGCTCAACCATCTTTACCTGTTCTTATTCTTACTTTCAATCATTTATTTCAGAACCAAAAAAGAAAGCAGATATACTCAAGAGACATTTGACTTACCTATAAACCCTGTAACTTCCATATTAGGAAGGAAGGTAAAAAACAACAAAATTGTGCCCTAAAAATCCCTATTATGCAAGTATTGGCTTCCATACTTACAAATGGAACCATATGATGACTATACTAATACTAATAAAAGGCTGGTGATACTGCAAGTAACTTGTAGCCTCCTTTACTTCAATTTCTTCTTTTTTTTTTTTTGTTTTATTAATTTCACACAAAGCGAGGTGATAAAGCCACTAAGATTCAAGGAGTTATTGAGAGTGAGAGAATATAAGAAAAACATTATGGATGAGAGAGAGGACAATAAAAGAGCCAGATTCAATCCATGGAGACATATTACAATTGATGCTGAATTTAGATTTTTGAAGATTGTAACTGACTGGAAAGCAAGAAGCTAGAAGAAACTATTAGAACAGAACTTATGGTCACAACCAGCAATTGCAACAGTGAAATTATGAGACCTAGCTGCCAACCGAGTACAGTGCTTAAAGTCAAGGGAGCAAAGAGGAAAGCTCATCAGAACAATTAACATGAAAATATTCACAGAAAAGTCACAAGGAAACTATGTTCCATTGGTGGGAAAGTGACTGAATGCTAGGTTGGGACTGATAACATTGCAGATTCATCTTTATATTTTATCAAGAAGCTCTAGATATATAGCAGAAACATCAGACCAGATGTGGCGGCAATATTCAATGCATGGACAAATGGTAGACTTACAAATGTGTAAGATAGATTCTGGTGAGAAAAATTGTCTAGAATAACACAGTAAACCAACTTTCCTCACAAAAGACCTAGTAACTGACTTGATATAATTAATCCACCTTGACACTTCACAAATTTAAGCCCCGTACTAAGTTGGCAGTTAGGTCTCATAATTTAATTGTTGAAATTCCTAGTTGTAGCCATAAGTTCTATGCTGATAGTTTCTTATATTGCTCTTCTTGTTTGGGGAACTCTTCCAGCTTCTTTGCTTCCAGTCAACTTCGACCTTCAAAAATTTAAATGCAATGTCAATCACCATATTCTGATTCCTGGAATTATTTTCTTTTATTGTCCTCCCAGTAACCCCTTGAATCGTAATGACTTTATTGCTTTGCTTGGAGTGAAATGATTAAAAGAAAAAGAAAATTTTTCATGCTGTTTCTTCTTCCCTTCATGCTTGTTGCTCACATGTCCAGTCCTCGGTGAGATGATAGTTTAGCATTCACTGATATATAGGCAGTTGCATATTATATAGCAATTTCACTACTCTTTTATTTTTTTCTTTACTGATATTTTCTGGTAAAATTCTAGAATTGGGGTCATAATTTGCATGCAGAAAAATGAAAGTAGTGTAATTAGCTAGAACTTTGCAAACTTTTGAACTTTTTGAAAGAAAACAAGTCAATTGCAGAACAAAGAACTTGTGAAAATTGATACTGCAATGTAACCTTGGTATCCAAAAGTCCTGGTGAATGTATTTTGGAGATGTCCTAAATATCTTCAGTTCATACTCAAACAATAAAGAATAACTGGCTTCATCTAAAGTGTTTTCTGAGAGAAAAAGGAACCAACAAACATCCACATGAATTGGAATATCTGAATACAGATTAAAGTTCAAAAGTTTGAAGCCATCTTCAGAATTAGCATGGGATGAACTTGACAGAAGAGTGAAACCTTTCTATCTCAAAAAAATGAAAAAGAGCTCTAAGGAGTCATTGAAAAAAAAGGAATGAAATCAATTATCAAACTGAGAAATTTTTGCAACAAATGATAATTTGTTTAGTTTCTGGAAAGCATTTCATTATTGCATATTATTTAGCATATCAGCAATCTTCTATTTTTTTATCTAATGACATTTTCATATGACAATACTTTGTCATTCTCAGCAACCCCTTGCATCCTACATGCTTTTATTACCTTGTGTAGAGTGAAGATGGAAATAAATGCCAAGACAGTTAATCATCAAATGACAAAAAATAGTTTCTGAGTCGAAGTATTTACACATCCTTCCTGTTAATAAATATTTAACAGGTTTCATTCCCACTGACAATAAACAGGTAGCAGGTGCTACCACTCTGGGTCAGGGTGGACCTGGGAACACCAGAAATTAAGAGGTAGTTCCATGCTCCTCAAAACCTCCAGATCAGAGGCCTTGCTGTTGGACATAGTTTATCGTCTTACCCAGGATGCAGATACAGTTTATCGTCAGACCCAGGACGCCTCTGCAGTTGTGTAGAGATCATTATTACATTTAGCTATATTAAAAATGCAGAAACCTGGGTATACACTGTTTATAAATCCAAAGTTTTATTCTCTGTAAGATGTTCTTATATCACATGCAAAGCAATGTCAGTAATGCTTACGGTCAAATCACGCTGAAACACCGGTTCTCGTACGATCACCGAAGTTAAGCATCGTAGAGCCAGGTCAGTACTTAGATGGGGGACCGCTTGGGAACACCTGGTACTGTAAGCACCCAAAGTCCAACCCTTACCTCACAGTTGGTGGTGGTGGTGGTGGGGGGGTGTAAACGGTAGTGTCAGAGCTATGCCGCCCGGAACTTCGTTCCTGGTAGGGCCACCCAAGGCGGACAGGTCTGACACACACGCTGGCTAACAAGGGCTCTGGTGAAAATCCAAGGGCGTCTGCATCGGTAACTGGCGGCTTCTGATCGATTTCCTGTCTCTGCGTCTCAGGGAAACCCAGCGGCAAGCAAGAAGCGTTATCCGAGTAGGCCTGGGTACCCTACTTCTGTAATTTATCCCAAGAATCTTCTTCTCATAACAGGAAGAAGCCGGCTCAATCCGCCCAGGGTGAATGCCACAGTAGTACAGTAATGTCAGTAATGAATTTGTCTTGCATTGCTTCAATGACATACTCTTCACAAAGTTCTTGAAAGTTTTTCTTTAATTTTTCTAACTCGGTGAAAAACACGTCTAGTTGCATTTACTAGACTATGTTGACCTACAGCCTCAAATCTACTCAGCTTTCATTTTCATTACATCTATAAAATTTAAAAACTCTAGGTTGTAGAGTGGAAAAAGTTGGCGAGTTATTGCCAAAATTTATGCTGCAGTTATATCCCATAAGCACTACAGTATTTTAAAATATTTTTTAAACAATATCAGGCAATTATAATTAAGTGTATTGATGCATCGACATTCACTGATAAGAAATAAACACCTAATTGGCACATTGTGAATCATAGCTATCATGGCTCTCCACAATTTCCTGTCCTTGTAGCTCTTAATAAATTTTGTCTTTTTACTATCTCTTCTAAATCTTATTCCGCCATCCATTTACTAAAGCTCACTGGGTAGGTTATGCATGTTTTCCTCTGTCCTGCTTACCTTCAATATGTCCTGTGAGTATCAAATTTTCCAAATCCTCTTTCCTCATTATGTGCTCTAGAAATTTCAACTATCTCTTCCTGATGTTAAGTATAAGTGTCCTTTTTGTTTCCATTTTCTTTAAAACTTTGTTGTTACTCACAATGTTTGGTCCATGGTATTCTCAGCATCCTTCTGTAGAACATTTCTGTAGCTGCTT